CTGCTGGAGCCACAGGAGGAACATGGTCAGGAAGTCGGCAGTTAGGCAACCGGCGAGCAGGCAGCCAGGGTCGGGCTTAAAGTACACTGCCAACGACCAGCCCACGCATCCGCACGCACGAGGCGCAGAGACAAAGACAGTCGAAGTCTGACTTCAACCAATGTAAAAATTATCTTTGTAGGTTTGACTAGGAAATTTCCTATTTAAAAAATGTAAAAAGTTCGAAATTTGTTGGGAAAACTCATGGTAAATACGATGTCGCAATTTTGAGGAATTGAGGAGAACTCCATTTCGAGGACACCCCCATCGAGGACACATTTCGAGGACTTCTCCTTAAAAATTTTGGTATTTCGCTCATTTCTGAGGCGAGATCGGAGGAGTTTTCCTCAAATATGGGAGTTCCTCAACGTTTTCCCCCTTTTCTCCGTTTTTAACATGTAGAGAACGAACTTGGGGAACTTGTCGTGCAGTTGGTAAACTTTGGTGCATCGAAGTCGTTGTAATTGATTTCACATCACAACTCTCCTTTACCAGTTACTCGGATTGACACATGTGCCATACCATCAAAAGGCCATAATGCGTATCAAACTAATTACCATCACTTGGTTCGTTTCGTGAGCGAGTGTGGTGTGCGTAGACGAGGCGGCAGAGGCGCGCAGGTAAGGAAGGCGCGCGTTATTAAAGCCTTTCCCTCTCTGTCACACACACACACACACACACACACACACACACACACACTATCACATGCCCATCAGTAGCAAGGAGCAAAGGCAAACATAATGGAAACCAATGGAAACGCAATGGGAATCAATAAGGTTGTCTGGAAGTCAAATTTGATGCTGAAGCGAAAAAGTGAGGTCAACTGTGAAGGAGGAATGTACTTGGAAGTATTCAAAAACAAATGTGAAAACTTTAAATTGTACGCAATGCTTCATGGCCAAACCGCGAAAGCTGCGGACACTTTTAAGTGTTCAACTTTTCTTTGTAACACTTTTCATTGTTCGAAGATCTAGTTCAAAACTTGAAAGTGTGCAGAGTAGTGTTGATCACTTGCATATTGGCACGCCACGCCAGTTGCGCCCCTTATTTTAACGGTCTTCGACAAAAAGCCGCGCAGTCGCAGTCTGTCATTTGTAAAACA